GCTATCAGTTCGGTAAATGTAATTTTCTGTCAAATCGCTAGACCCAGACTCTTCCTATCCACTCTTCCTTTGATTTAGTTTTTTCAGATAAACAATCATTTATTTATTTATATTTAGGTCCTCTCGAGACCAAATTTTTTAGTTGTCAAAACTTTGCGATATGCATCTACGCTCCTATACATAGTAATTTATACATTAACATTTCGAGCAAACAAACGCTATCTCTCGTTCGGCATCGGTAATTTTCGTGCAGTCTGGAGTCTGACGATGTTTTCAACCCAATCAATCGATATCGACTCGGACGAGCGATATTGCGTTGCTAACTTATAAGGTGACTGAATCGATAAGAAAGCGGAAACCTTCCGATGTGTGCTCTTAGGAGTGAAAATATTTCCCGCTTACTTAAAGCAACGCGCTCTTTAATCAGCTGTGTTGTCAAGTGAAGCGCGCGTAAGTTTTGTAAAGGTCTCACTTCGCCATGTCTCGCTTTACAATGGAGAAACATTACGGTGAATGGATGTTATCTCGTTGGTACGACAACATTCCGGGTCCTGACAGACTAGTGGAAGTGTCTACGTCGCTAAGTGAAGAAGAAGCGTACAATTTTGTCGATGCTTGGTCCAAGAAACTTCTCACGCCCGCTCTCGACCCAGAGCGTCTCAAAAGTATCACGGAGTCTTTGATATCAAGCCATTGGAATCAGGCCTGCAGAATGGGTTGCCTTGCTGTGCAGTTCACCTACATCAATGGCTTTTATCATCGATTTGTGTGGAGGGTTTCTTAATCAAACGTTGCTCGTCCAAGCTCACATCTTATGGAGATCTTGATTCACTGACCGGTGCAGGCAAATCAAACAATTTATCTGATTATTAACTCAACATTGTGATTTTGAGGCTTAACTATTTCAAACGAAGTTAATCTTGTAGAGCATCGATTTTGTTTGAAAATGTTTAATTTCCATTTTCTTCAACTGAATCACCCTTGGTGTTTTGATGTTCCTGCTGGACGCTGCTGGAGCTCCCATCACAATATGAGCAGTTTAAAAAATTAACAAATGTTCCTTAAATCTTTCATCTGTGAAAAATTGTTTCAATTGGTACAGCTTCTAAAAGTTCCAAGTTTCCCACCAACTTTATTGGACTGAAAGTTGTCGGGAAAGCTCTTTGATTTCCACGCTGGACCATTTTCTTTTTTTTGACGATTATGCTAAAATTATTATTGTTAGTGATGGCGGAATTTCCCTCAAACAAATCAACATGTGTAACAAAATAAAGACTAATTAAATAGCGTTATTGTGAAAATGGTAAATATTAAAATAATAATAGAGAATGACATGACGCGCACTCTGTTTTGTCGTGCACTTTTTGAGAAGAAGAAGATTAGGGAAAAACTTTAGGATCGTGTAGTGCAATAACATTTTAATAATATGCACTCTGAATTCATAATTTTTGTCCATCAAAATCTGTCCGTCAAATTAGGTGTTTTGTAAACATGGTTTTCTACTGCCATAACGCAATTTTTTTTTAACTCCTCAAATATCCGAAAAACCTTTATTTTTTGCAAGCTCGCAAAGTTTTTAACCCTTTAACTCACAGAAGTGATTAACGTGTATCTTTTCCCTAGAATATCCGTACATTACCCATGTAGCGAACAGGTAATAAGAATACCTAAAGTTATCATGTAGAAGTTGTTATCTTCATCTGATACCAAATTCTCATAACTAACTTACAAGGAAATGTGTAGCAGCTAGAGGGGAGAATTAACAATCAAATCTTCGGAGTTAAGGGGTTTAAGTAAACTTCTTGGTAGAGATTTTTTTCTGTGGCGTATGATAGGGGAGAACATTGCTGGCTGTAGTACCTTCATGAACGACTTTGTCGTCCAAGCCTAGCTGAGCGTCGACCAACTTTCGGTTTGTGTTTTCGGTTCATTATACGATTTCGTCTATTATTTGTTGAGCCCTTTCAATGAACAGACCTATCCACAAAGGGAAACCTTAAATTTTTCTGTGCAAGAACCTTTTTCGAAACTGGATGGCGGTCCTTCGACGGACATCGGTGAGAAACATGAGAGCAACTGGAAATCTGGCTGGCAATCGAAACGTCAGCTGTAGGAACTCTTTACGAAGGCCAATTTACATTGTCAACTCAGATGATAAAATCAAATTGTCTTGCCCCACCGACGAAGCACCACACTTCTTTAAAAATTTACCCCATTTAATTTATTCAAATAATTTTGATTTCAACAATTTCCAAAACAGTTGGTCACGAATGATAACCAATTTTATCATTCCATCTAAGGAAGCCTTAGAAAAAATGCAAATACAGCAGTAATAAAGGTGGAGAATGTTCTCTTTTAATTACACTTAACTGGTTGTGGGAAGCTTCCCACTTGTTTTCATAATTATTTTTTCAAACACAGCATAGTAACAATATATTTCGCCTGTTTTTGGCTGTCATTCCCTTAGATATAAACTCATAACAAGAAATGTTCCATGTAGTACATTTAACAATTTCTTGAAGTTTCTCGAAGCACATGCATGCAAATGAACTTTATCAAACAACTTTTTGACCCGAAAGTGTCATTTCTTCCTTACAGGTAATATGTTAATATTTCCCTTGACATGGTCGTTGACAATTTTGCATTAATTTTGAGAGAAGCTCGATTCACGCACGTTTCAGTGCGTGGCAACAAGAGCAGTACAGCTCGCTCCAATTATGTTGTACAGCTCTTCATATATTGAATCTGAACAAGACGTACTGAATTTTCTTCTACATTAACCTTAAATTTTAATTATTGAACTTTCACGACGACAAGTGAATTATCACGAACAAATATTGATGAGACACACATCAGAATGTAACAAGCAATACCTGTCATTCCTGTGACAATACACTGTCATATGTAAATAACTATTGAAAGGGCTTCTCTATCCAGCATCCGTCATTGCAAGCTTTTTTTTAAATTTCCTTTCCTTTAATAAACTGTCCGGGGCACGTAGCTCTGACTCAGAACTTGTGCACGCACCATTGTTTTGCGTGAATTGTTTTATATGACAACTCGAGATTGCTGATTGTAGAAGTTTTTCATTCCAACCGAAAGCCTTTGCAGTTTTCTGCGCAGTCAAGGTTTGCGAGATAAAATTTCTTTTCATTTAAATGACTGAACAAGATGTCAGTCTTTTATCATATTTGTTCTGAGCATTTTTGTCCAGTTTCCACCATCTTAAAGGTTCAAACAAATTTTGTGTAGTTTTTAAAAAATTTCCCCTAGCCACGATGCTTCTTTGGTTTCAAGAAATTTTTACGTATTCTGCGTTATGGCAAACCAAGTGTAGAGGAAATTCTATGGACCATTAAGGTAGATTTCATTTTGTAAAATATTACACTTTCTTACCTTTTGTTATATACGACAAATGCAGGAACACGAACAAGAAAATGCTGACATTTCTCTTCCTCATTCATCTAATGGCCTTTTCGACAGAAGCTCAGGTTACAGGTTAGTGCTTTCATCTGTGATTTAGCTGTGAGGAGCGGGGAAACAAACTTGCAAGAATTATCTCAGAGACTATCAGAGCACAGCGGTCAATCGTAAGGCATGTGCAAGGGGATTAATTTTGTCTTGCCGCGCGCCAATTTTTGCGTGAACTTTTGATGGCAAACGTAAGAAACAACTACAATCACACTTAACTTGTATAGGAAATCGAGACGTTTATTGTAATATGAGAAACGAATCAAAACCAAAGAAATGGAAAACTCGGGACTTTTAGAACACAAAGCCCATTTATACACTTTGACCGCATAAAGCACACAATCCGGAATCACTGCCCGTTGAGATTTCCCAGGGAAGTGTCGTTTAGGAAATAAGCCCGTGCTCCTCACCCCGCTGAGACGACTAGACGTGTGAGCCTGGCCGTTTTTTGTTACCACCGATCAGAGGTTTTCCTGCTTGAATCGTGCAGGAAGTATACCTAAGTCATGCAGCATGTAGGGAGAATCAAAGATAGAACTCGAGAAATCGGCCGAAAACGAACCAAATCTGTGTGACATTTTTATCAGGCTTCAGTGTGAGCAAAGGGCAACCACTTCTGCTTAATAGCGGTGAAAACTACACTATCTGAGGGAAAAAGCTCGACTGAGTTATGACAACCGACCGGTGACTGCTCAATGCAGTGCCACTTAACCCTTTATCTCTTATGAGTGACCAAGAAAGAATTTCTCCTTACAATATCAATACAAAATCAGACAGATAAGTGATGAGAATAAAGAAAAATATCAATTTGGGGATGATTAGCTGATACGATACCAAATTCTCTGAACTAACATTACAGGAACTGTATGGTTGACAGTAAGGAGAATTACAAATTTGATCTGGGAGTTAAAGGGTTCATACAGGTTCGTCTGTTTAAAAGAAGATAAAAATGCAACTGCAATGATTTCAGGGTGACGAAAACCAAAAGAATTTTTGATTCACGCAATAATAGGATTATTATTTTTTGTTTTGCAGAGTGTTCATTCGGTGGAGGTTTTCCAGGGGATGAAGTTTTTTGTGAAGGGTACACAGAACAAGGTTCACCATGCACAAATGAAAAAGAATGTTGTAGAAACCCCGTAAAAGGGGTGATGGAGGGGTGTTACAATATGTCACTTATTCAAGGTCAGGTAACTTTAAAATTTCAGAATAAGCTTAGGTTGTTGTTATCTCCAATAGTGGATTTTTATTTTTTCCGACGTTCTCTTTTGGAAAACGTTTGAGTTTCGGCGGTGTCCAATTTTGGACTTTTCCCTACCTCCTACCACGTTGGATTTCGGTCGGTCGGTTTTTTTTTTAATTTTATACGGCTCACAGATTTTGATCGCGAGTAATTTGGATGCCCTTCGATTTAAGATTGTATTCGATTTCAGAAGAAGTCTAATCATTACGAAGTCTCACGAATTTTTGTCAGAAAATGATATTGGTCTGCGAGCTTAGATTCTCAGACGATTTCCAATTTCAAGGGGCATATGACATTTTATTGGCGTTCAAGGTTGGTCGGCGTTTGGTTTGGTACGAAGGCTGATGTTCTACGACGCGCGATTTTAGACGATCTTAATTCTGGCTTGCGATTAAGAAAGAGGTGTGGGATGGGAAATAAAAGAACTGCTTCTGTTTTATATTTATTATATCTTCTGCGTAGATTCTTTTGTTATCTCTCTCTTTCTATATCTTTTATTTCTTTCATTTATCCGATGTGCATAATAGTACATTCATTTCTTTTAAAGAACGCAATCTGTGGAAGCCACCTCGTGTCTGTCCTGCTCGAGACTTTAGCTTCAAAAAAAAGAAGAACTCAACGAACAAAGCCATAGACGGTCACGTGATTGTTAATCATAAGGTCGTATCTCTTCCTCAATGCGGTGACTTCTGCATACGTGAGCCTCGATGCAGTGCGTTTAATCTGGAAACTTTCACAGATCACGAGGGTAAAATGGAGTGTCAGCTGATGGACAATGTTTTGAACATTGTCAACAAGAGTGGCTTTGGTTTCTGGCTTTTCGACAGAGAGTCGTATAAAGAGGTAATATAAAAACTGCTTCCTTTAAAAAGTGTATTCTATTCGCTCCAATTCTCTCTTATGTTTCGTGAGGTGTGAGCAAGGCTTTTTGAATTTGGGGCTTTTTAGGAAGGGAGCCATATTAAATAATAGGGCCTATCAGAGAGGGGGGCGCACAGGATAGATAGGGGGGTTATCAGAGAGGGGTCTTATTGGAAATTGATGCTTTTCGGGGGGCTTATTAGGAAGGAGGGCTCATCAGAGAGACTTTTTAAGATGGGGGGGGAGCTTATCTTAGTGGGGGGGGGGCTAATTAGGAAGGGGAGTTTATCATAGAGGGGGTCTTATTACAATGCCGTCATGTTTCGAGTTTCAGATCAGATAGTTCTCTTTTATCTACGTTAATTTCATGCAGGGTTAACTCTGTATAACAAGTTATAGCATAATCCTGCTTTTTATTGAATTCGTTTAGTTGAAAGAGTGATTTTCAATTTAGTGTGGTAAAACAAAAAGCGAAGTTATCGCAACAGCCAATCAGACGAAAGAAAGATAACCAATAGAGAACTCAAAGTGAACACAAGCAAATTGTCAAAGCGCGGGAAAACGCGGGCGACCAAGTCGTGATTAGTTTTACTTTTGCATCTGATTGGTTGAGAGAGTGGCGCGAGTTTTCTGGACCAATCACAGAGCGAAGTAAAAAAAACAGTCCGTGCAATCCAAGATTTCTTTCGAAACTCAGTTGAAAATGACTCTGATAGAAATATTCTTTCTTACAGACATTTCTGTCACCATTTTGCGAATCCTAAAATCAGGGAAAAGCATCATGCGGTAGAAACCAAAAGACTTGAAAGAGGAGAGAAAAATACAGCAGCCACTACATGTCAAAAGAAGTGAAAACCATTTTTAATCTTCACAAAGCTCATGTAAGCTTTTCATTGGAATTTTTGAAAAACCCCAAAAAATATAATAATTGCGGAATTTTTCTCAATGATAGCTTACTCTATTAGTAAGTTATAACGAGTTGTCTTAGAGGGTAATTTTGGTATTATTAACTGAGCTGGTAACATAAATCGGCCACTGTAAAGACGGTTTAAAGCCGAAGTTTCGAGCGTTAGCCCTTTGTCAGACTCTTTACGGTGGCGAATTTACGTTATCAACTCAGTTGATAAAAACCAAATTACCCTGTTACTGACTCTCCCACCGACGCAGCACCATAGTTTCTTTAGAAACTTACCCCCTTTACTGATTTGTTTTAGACCCGATTAACACTCTCTGGCTTATCTCCGTACAAAACCTTTTCGTTCCCGTGACAATCAGACCTAGCTTCACTGCAATCTTTCCTCAAGCAACTCAATCATGGTATTCATAGCATCTCTAGCGGGCATAAAATTAATAATCAAAAGTAATTTTCACAAGATTTTTGAGTGATGAGTTTAGACATGCTGTTTACGGTAGCAGCAAAACGTCAAAATAAGTGTTTTAGTATAATTGCTCAGATGTTTTCGAATTCTAATGTAAATTCGTTTTGTTGTTAAAAACCACTCCGTGATCGAATAAAGATGGCTTTGCGCGTGTTACGATTGTTTTGTTTATTTGTAGTAAAGAAGCCAGTTTCCAAAACAATTCAATCAGGAAATACTTAATCTCTTATTTTTTAAAAGTGGTACACCGATGTTAGCAGCATCTTTTTAGCTCTTTAGAATTGAATTTTCCTTTATCACCCTTACTTCCCTGGTAACATCGACGAAGTGCGAGGCAGCCGTTTTGAAATTTAGTGCCCTCGTTATGATCTCCTCGTGCGCGGTGCTTATCGCGAGATATGACGCAATCCTCGACCAATTAGAGCGCGAGAATCTCCATAATCACCGAAACAATTTTACTGAAAACTAACAATCATTCACTTTTCGTATGATCTTCAGATCAACCCTGTCGAAAACTAATGAAAAAAGTATTTTTGCTGGTGCAAATGTCTTCATTTGAATACACAAATTGCCGAAAGCAGATACCTTACTAACACCCATTATTTGTTAAGCTTTTAAGCGATCGCTTTTTGTTTTGGAACGAAAATTTGCATAATAATTTCACCCTTTTGATTTTATCAGTTTTCATTTTGAAAAGTGCCAAATAATAAGATGAAAGGAAATAAAATTATTCCACGTAGGGGCCTTTTCCTTCTCTTCACGAATGGCTATTTAGGTACTTGTCATATACGGTGTCAAAACGAGATAAAATAATTATGATCAGAAATATAAAATGTTGATAACAGCGCTTACTATACGAAGGCAGCCTAAAACTCCTGCAGCCATTTAATGTATTTCGCGTGCCCTTGTGCATAATTTGAAATCAAGAGATTTGAAACTTTTTAATCTCTTGTTTGAAATATAGAAACTTGTAAATAAAAGAATGTTTCGGCAGTTGTTTCCATGACCTTTTAACTCCCATAAGTGATCAAGACGCAATTTCTCATTACAATATCAATAAAATATCAAGCAGACAATTGATGAGAATAAACAAAAACGTCAATTAGAGGATTATTATTTGATCCAATTCCAAATTCTCCAAATTAGAGTCATACGAATTATTAGGCATACAGTTGGGAGATTTACCGATAAGATCTCTGTATAATGAGTTTGGAGAGGTCCAGTTTCACTTGTAAATTGCTTTGATGTAAGAACTTTTGATGGCGGTATAATAGTTTTTGACGCCTTCCAATTATCATTAAAGGTTATCTCCCACGAGGTCTTCTTCATTTCCTGGTTTTTATGCTCAAGTATCCCGTGCAAACAAATCATATAAAAATCTTTAATAGGCTGAAAGAAATTTTTTTTTGCTGTTTTCCGGTGAAACGAGATAGCAATGCCATTAACGTCGACATTTTCAATACTTCACTGTCTCATCACCTTTTTCGCAATACCCACATGCAAAAGCTGTTCTTGCCTTTTATGCAATTGCGTACAGTCATTATTGTACTTTACCAGGCCTTCTACTGAAAGAACTATTTTATCAAGACTGGACGCTTTGAACGGTAAGTAAAATAAACCACAAACTTATCAAATATCTTTATTGCTCTGTTTGAAACGATTCTAGACTTCATCTTGGATGACAGATTGAAATATTTTTTTCCTTTACAACTGTTTCAGATCTACGTTTTACAATTTTGGTCGGAGTTTCTTTGGTTTTTTCACCTCCGCTGACCATGTTATTGATTTGCGCGCTGATCTTTTCAACGATATTCATCGGTTGCAAAATGACCTCAGGTACGTTTATTAATCTCACCCCAATTTTTTGTTTCCGAAACCTTCAAATTATTTTCATCTCACGAACTTCTTTTAATAAAGCATATTTATCATCAAAAAGAATCCGTTCGATCGACGATAAGGATGCTGTCACCGATATTTTGAATCACGACCTTTTACTGCGTGCAAAATTACTCTAAACGTGGGAGAAATTTCGAAATATTGGCTCGACAAGAAAGGGAAATATCAAAACACGAATTATAAACTAAAAACTGAAAACACTGTTTCAGAATGAACATCACTGACAAGGATTTCAAATAAAAAATTAAGAATTAGGCTAAATCACTCCTTAAGAAACACAGATTATGAAACATGTTTCTTAAAATCTTATTAGTCGTGTGATAGTCTCCATTTTGGGCAGATGTTTTTGACGTAACGTGTGAAGTGTCAAAACATTGATAATTTGAGACAAAAGTGATATCATTTTTGAAATCTGATTTTGTGATTTTATGATCTCCTAAGGCAGGTGACAGTCTCCATAAGTAAAATAGGGACCTTTAACAGGCATGCAGGACAACAACGCCGAGGAGGACGTCGATTAAAAAATTATATTATACTTTTAGATAGAGTTTTGCAAATGGCTGGATGTGTCTAACGTCTTTTACGGCACTACTCCTCATGATCAACTTCAGCATAAAGTATGCGAGCAGTGTTGAGGTCCAAATGGAAACTTGATTGATTTGCCGTCGGATTTTTTGTTCCCAGACCATGCAAATTTTGGTGATTTCACGTTGTTGTTTTGAAGAGGACAACTGAGAATTGTACACTGAAACGCAAGTACTCAGCTGTTGTTCTACCCATCAAATCTTTTATTTTGCCACGTCTTCGTTGCCGTCGCGGTAGCGGTTTGCTTTTTAAAGGTCCCTATTCTAATGTTAGGGTTAAAGAAAGGACAAATTAATAGATGGTCACGACACAGTTCAGCGGTTCTTGTTTCCCCTCATTATTTATACTACCACCCCACCCCCCCTTAATCAAAAAAAGATCTCTATTTTTCCTTGACTCCTCCCCCCCGATCCAATTTTTTTTCTGTCCAATTCCCATTGAGAACTTTTTCGTCACAATTCAAGATTTTCATTCTCGCTGACTTCGAAGATCCAACCAAAAGATCCTTGAAGCTCAGTGTTGGGGCATCCGACCTACAATACGTACGAAGAAGGGGATAAGGAGTAAGGGGAAAGATGCTTTTGGTTCGGAACCTCATGGGGGAGGGGACGGGAAGCAAGTTCAACCTCATTAAGTTTATGCGAAATTTTTCGCTCCAGCTTGGAATCTCAAAGAAAATGGAAGTTTGGGAGAAAGTCCAGCTGGGGTCAATAGTTTATTCTAAGACTCTTTTTGCAATTGATATTTCCAGATTTTTGCAGTCGTTTGTTGATTGATAGCTAATTCGGGTAACTTATGGTTAACAGGCAAGGAAGCTGCTTTGCGAAGCCAAGGTGAATCTTGTTCTCCTCCCCAACTCTCCGATATCACTTTCGACGCGATCTTAATCGGCCAAGTGAATTTCAGAGAGGACGTGGTCTCAGAGCTACACTGCATGGACCTATGCGTGCGTCGATCTTCGTGTGTTGCATATAACATGGAAACCGCGGGCTCACACGTACGATGTACGATTTTGTCAGATATTCAGAAGTCAGAAAAAAAGCTCGGATCACTTTACAGAAATTTTGATCGGGAGAAAATCGAGAAGGTCTGTGTGTATTATTTCATTGTAAAGCAATGTTATATTTCTAAGAATATTTCTCAAGGCAAGGGCAAGTACAAAGATGATCACTCCTTAATCAATGAACCCTCTGACAGACTGACACCCCCCTCCCCTCCCCCCTCCACACCCTCCCGAGCTTATAACCCTACGTTTAACTACTGTGGGTACGGGAAGACGTGGGAGGAAGGGCCCGTGCTCTTGATAGAGCGGAGAGAAGACTGGACTGGTCAAAGCGTTCACGGTAGTACGGTTTGCATTCGACAAGCTTGAAAAATTTTAGACTAATTTTTTTTCAAGCCGCACTTACCGCCAAATTGATTTTGCCGTGTCTAAATTTATCTTGTCTATTTCCCCTGTCGCATTGATTTTGCCGCGACGGATGTTAACCACCGTAAATTTTAGGGTTCACTAGGAGGTAGGATTCCCTAAGGGAAGGAAGTGCGGCTTTACAGGTTTTATATTCTCTAAGACCCACAAGCCCGATTGTTTCGTAACGAAACAAGTTCTGTTTCTTCTCCGCGAACATTACAGTCAGTTTTCTTTTATTTAATATGAAAAATTGCGTTTATTTTACAGTTCCTCTTCCAACGTGACAACTGTGATAATGAGCCAGATCATCAAATTGATTAATAGCTATGACCGCAGCCACCCACGTCAGAGATCGTTGCGTGACATCTTTACAAACGTCTTCCTGTTACTCAAGTATGGTGGAAGCGAACGATCTTTCGTTCGTTGACGGGGATTTGTTCCTTTGTGAAATGTTCTATGAGTCAGTGACTGATTAAAAAAAAAACATTATCGTGACGTATGCAAGTTTAGCATAGCCGGGAATTTTTATTTTCAGTTTCGAATCAGTTTTCGAGTAATTGCTATTTTCAGACGTGACAGCAAAGACGAATCCTATATTCATGTATTCACCCAGGGTTTTCTTTCAACTTTTGATTTGGAACAGGGCGCAAAACTTCATCGATACTATTAGGATGAATCTTTATGAATACCAAGTTTGAGAGAGAACTGTTAAAAATTAGGGATCACTAAAGGTTTCTGGTAAACCAAAATCAAAGCTCTCGATATAAAACGACCAAGATACCCCATTTTGCCAATATCAAGCCATGGCAAGTCACGAAATTTTACTGCGGTGACATGACGGGCCAACCAAGTGGTGCATGTCAGAAATAAAACAACGGAAACGGAACAAAGCGTATATTTTCTTGAAAGGCCTATTGCAAACTGATGTACACTTCGTCCCATTGTAAATCAGCAATACATGTCTCTCTAACCGACTTTCACATCTAATTTCGAGTGGCACGCCACAAACTAGATAGTTTTGCACCCTGTCTCCGAAGTTATCGTAAGATTGCGTGTCGCTTAGCTCTTCTTTAATAATCGAGTCTCTCTAAAATCTGTCTCTTCTCAACAAATTGGCAAATTGTTATTCCGTTGATTTTCTATGTTTTATCATACTGGATAGCATGTATATTTTTTTGGTCACTCTTCCGGGAAAGATTGGCTTATTTACGTAAACTCTTTGTTCACTCACGAAAACTGTTTGCAATAAACGGTACTGAAAATAAATATGAGCTGTTTCATGTTGTACGTTTGTGGCGGAAAAACCTCGGAAAGTGTTGGGAATTGCCTCGGAGCATCCTTATAAAATCTAAGTCGCTCTTTGCGGGAAAATCAGTCTGTTGAAGTTTTCTTCTCGTTAGGTCGCACGAAGAATGAGCAACATGCCACACTTGTCCACATACATCGTCATGTACGGTAAGTCATAAGTAGGTCTTAGAACTTAAAACTTCATAAAATTTTGGAAAACTTCAGTCATAGACCAGTCAAGTACTTTGGGGCAAAATTTGAAAATCTACGCAGACGGTTAATTGCAGTTTTGGCTTGTACGTGGCAGTAGAGCTCGTGACTTGAAATACATTTTCATTAAAATGTAGTGTAATTCCTAATAAATCTGTAGAATCGAATACATACGCGCATGTGCTTCGATGGCATGCTCTGCTTGCAGAAAATAATTACTCGCAAGAAATTTAATTACAGCTGCTTAAGATCAAAATCCAACCCTAATGGACTAATTTAACTCATTAGCTGTTAGTTAACGAGCTCCTGAGAGTGCTAAAAGTATATAGAAAGAACTAAGGTACTCGATTTTAGACGAGTGTTTAAGTTCAATCCTTCGCATCTATAACTTCTGTGGCTTAGTTGCTCACTTTTTACGGATCTGCCGCTTGTCGCTTCGAAGCAGTCACGAAACCGCTAGTAACGCAGCCAATAGGGCTGTTAATGCACCTTATAAGCAGTACATTTCCTCTTTGAAAAGTCGTGACTAATTTAAGACGAGGATTTTGAGCACATCTTAAATAATTCGCGGCATTGATACGATACAAAGGCACCGGTATAGATTGCATCACGGCTTACCTAAAACTTACTCTGCGCAACTGCCACCATTCGCTACCATTCTTATATTTCCATAATACGACGCAAACCACGTGTTCACAGGAGCACTTCTCGGTTTAATCAAGCCCTTCTCGGTTTAATCAAGCCCTTCTCGAATAAATGGTGCGGTCAGCGTCTAGGACTGCGGTGGATTATTTCCTCGTTTAAACGGCCTTGATATCGGCTCGCGTGAAGTACACTCTTCAAACTACATCGTTAAGATGAAACCGAAACAACCAGAGGGGCAAAATAGCAATAGACTGCTTGAAAAGTTAAAAAAAAAAAACTTGACAACTATTATCTCGTTTCAAGGCTGTTCCAGTCTATTTTTGAGTGTTTCAGGGCCTTTCAGATCTGAAACGAAATCGAGTCAATAGTTATCACCCCAAGGGTTAACTTTACTATAAGTAGACTATGACTCACGCATGCATCGTACGACTTCAGCTGTTAATCCGTTAGTATCAGAGAAACCAATCGAAAAACTTTCTTTTTATTGTTTTCTTCGTCAATGAGCGATCTTAGTGGAAATACACGCAAACTTTTGGCGCACAGGCGCGTGCGATCCGGGCGCAAGGAGCTTTAAAAGTGACAACGGAAAAGACTTCCTGCATTGAGCCGGAAGGGCGTGTCGGAGAGCAAGATAAACAACTCGAATTTTAAGCAATTTAGAGATATACTAAATCAAAGACAATATCATTTGAAATCCATGAAAGTGCAACCTAAATAAAGGCGTGTTTTACTATCTGTAAAAGAGAGATTGTTTGCACTAAAGAAAATTTAATTTACATGATGCTAAAAAAGAACACAAGTAACCTTGTGTTTGTATGATGCACGTCACTGTGGGAAAAAATTATCCATAGAAAGCATTATGGTAATTTTACTTCCAAAAATAAGACGTTAACGATGAAAAGACAAAATATTATCCCCAACAATTACAGCTTTAATTGACTCTTCCTAAAGCGGTCCAACTGCTTTTGTTAACGTTCCTGTGTCGATCAAATTTTGACGTCACTTTCGCTTCATTGACGTCCGAATATCACCTTTCGGTCCTGCTCTATTGTTCTTACAGAGTATTCTGCGTTTGATGGAATATGCTACGCTGTTATCAATAATATGACAACTTTGTTAGGCGTAAAATTGATTTAGAGAGTTAAAAAACCAGCCTTTCCTACAAGCGTTTCTCATTGCGCAATTTTCTAGCAACAAAACAACACACTTACTTCTCTAACATAGCGAAATGTTGGATTATCATGGATTTCTGGGAGTGTTCGGGATGGTCTTTTATCATGGCCACGGCTTAAAATAACCTTGACAAACTGATGATTTTTTTTAGATTCGGGGGTTTCCCAAATTACTTTTATAAGAGAGGAGACAACTGTAGTTCGTACACTTAAGCCTGCATTTCGATAAGTTCTCGGATCGAAAGTTCAACATGACAAGCCAACGAAAGAAGATTTTTTTATTAGGTGAGTGAAATTGTTTAGTTTACTTTTTCAAGGGCGTTAATGTTCATCAAAACATCTTGTAATTACTTGCCAATATTCTCAAATAACCTTTAATTTGTTGCGTTGTTAACCAGCAAACTTAGTCATGTGATATGCGGGTCGTTCAATGTGTCCATAGCTGCTCGTTTTACGGAACAAAACATATAGGAGCATCGACATTTCTTAAGAATTAACTCACCTGTGCGTATTGCAGTTAATTTTCAAGGTTGTTTTAATAATTAAGTTTTACTTTAATCTTGTAAATATTGCAATAATGTCACTTAAGATTAGTGTACACGTTATATCGTGATTAGAAAATTAAGTTAAATTAAAATTAAGTAAAAGGTTGAATACTACAAAACTCAGGTTTTCATTTGAGCACGCTTGTTTGTTTTGTTTTGGCATTTAGCAGAGAAAAATATTGGTCTTCTCTAAAACGATATGTAAAACCACGTCTTTCGTGAGTGGCATATTTGAAGTCAATAATACCTATTTAGCCGATTTTCATTTTCTTAGGACTCTCCAATTGCTCTTAGCACGGTAAAGTTTATGAGACAGAGCTATGATCATAGGAATCTTCCTTCCACCTATACCAAAACTTCTATTTGAATTTCTGAAAAAGAGAAAGGGTATATGACTAAATAGATCTTCCCATTTTAGAGGACCCAGGCATAAAATGTAAGCGTTTGCGCGATGTCGGTTTAACTTACCCCAGAACATCATGTCCCTTTGAAGCAGACCTTGTTCAGTTACAGTTGAGCAAAAATTTTCCGCTCTTGAAAGGAAGAAGAGCGAAACATTTTATGCTGAGTTACAATAATTCAATTTTGTCCTCTTTTTTTTACCAAGAATTGATTTTACGCTTTCATCCAAGAAACAAAGGTGTTTTGTAATCAACATGTTTACGGCCGGCTATAATGGAAGCAATACCAGTAATTCAAAATGTCGGTCAGTCAAAGCCACGACTTTATATGTTCTTCTAGAAATTCTGGTTTGAAAACAGGAAATTGAACTTTGGATGTAATCGAATGAGATCTGTGCAAAAAAAAGGCGATGAGATAAAGGAAAAACCTGTAGTAGATTCCTGATCATGTGAGAGACGCAGCATTGACAAACCGAAACCGGAACTTTGAGAGAGGAAAAGGATAATATTTTCAAACTTTACGTCAAACAAATACGCCACAAAATTCCATGTCTCGCGCGCTACTGTCACGTATTTTCATCATACCTCACGTATCTTTGCAAAACTTAGATCTTTATAAGGTTTTTACGTCGGAATAAAATACTGTCATTCTCTATTTGACTTCCACGTAAGCATTTTTCACCTAGAACTAGCGTGACACTGGGTTAGCGTGACTGCTACAACTGACGTGTAACAAATGCTTTATGCCATACTTGATTAAAGCAAAAACCTAGTGTTCTTTATTTGAATTTAAGAAACAGTTTTTAGCAACTTTTTGTGAAAGAATTTTCGAGAAATATTGAAACTGTTGCGAAACCTTTCATTTTCCAGAGATCAAAAACGATATTTTTTCTTACGACCTACATTTGAGATGTGCGTGGGAGACGAAAGTTACTGTTGCGTAAGTTTCGAAACGTAAATTCCATCCAAGCGGGGAAATTCACCGTACAATTATAGATGAGCTGAAAAGCGATTTTGATACGCTGATAAAGTCAATTTTACAGTTAATGACGTTACCTTTTAGAACTTGAATCGATAAAATATTCCGTTGCATACGATTATCATAATGACTTCTCTTGGGTTTGAATTGACATGTCAATTCTTAAAGGACGTACGTTTAAAATAGACTATTGCGTGATTGGCCGGGAGTTTCCCATTAAACTCGAATGTCGTGAGTAGATATTACTCAAGCTCTTTTAGTCCGGTTCAATTTTCAAGCTATCTTGAGTTCATCTCTAAGAAGTGCTCACGAGACTGCCACAATGGATCACAGAGTGAAACAGTTTGCTCTTCTTGGTGAGTGAGAGCGTCATTGATCATTATCAAATCACTTGCTGGCTTGATGCATCGATAATCGTTTCAAGGCAAATTGAAAATCCGATAGGAATCATATAATAGGAATTATTGACATTTATGCGTGATAATCTATCAATAGTGGCAGTAACTTATTTAGAAACAGTGTTGTATATTCTTAACAACCCTCTTCGTTTCCAAAAAGAAGCACTCCTTTGTGGAGTCGCTAAAACAGGTAATTGAACTATTGAATAACAATGCTTAAGTACACAAATTAATTTTCACTTTTCAACTCAGCTTTCGCCTTTGCAATATGGTCTTATGTTCTTATGGTTTTATAGGTAAAAACTCTTTGAAAAGTCTTTTTTCAAAGCAGCGTTGAGCGGAACACGCCGCTGTTAATTCAAAAAGCGTAATTGCAGCGTAAGCATGTCATGGTAGTGCAAGAGCATTCTGGTATTCTGTAAAAGGGTGCCATGAAGAGAGGAAATCTTTTCGGCTTCAAAAGAGATCATCGTTCCCCCTTACCTGTCGGATACGATAGCATTTAGGCAGAAGACAGCTAGGCGAATGATGTAATTACTTTAATTAGAAATGCAGAGAAATTTCATCATTTTGGTAGTTAAAGGTATGTACTCCGCCGGCCGAGTTCATTGCAAATTACGCGATATGATGTAAACGAAGCAGGAAAAATAATACTTCTGATCCTTGCGGCGATGAAGATGTAACTTCGCACAAAATGCAATGAGATTATGCCATGAAATTATCTTTCTTAAGATACAGAGAAGTACAAACCAGGAAAGAGTTTAAGTTCAGAACCAAAGAATCACTCATAAAGTGGCAAATTTTGCATAGGTAAATTTTTTCTGACACAACCAAAAGCCTCCCAAGCTTTAATCTTAAGTCTCTCGTGCCGATAAGTTTTCTTTAGTGCTGGCTTTTTTGTATATGCAGACTAGGACTCACGCACGAATTGCAGCACTTCAGCTTTTATCTGTCACTATCAGAGATACCAATTGAAAAGCTTTCTGTTTATTGTTTTCTTCGTGAATGAGCGTGCTCAGTGAAAATTCACGCGAACTTTAGGCGCACGGGCGCGAGCGATCCGGGCGCAAGGGGCTTCAAAAGTGAAAAATAAAAAAAACGGAAAAAGACTTCCTGCGGAAGGGCGTGTCGGAGAGCAAGATAAACAAATCGAATTTCAAGCAATTTAGAGATATACTTAACCAAAGACAATGGCATTTGAAATTTATGGAAGAGCAACATGAATTAAAGACATAATTTGTCCTCTGGAGAAGAGAGATTGTTTGCGCTTAGGGAAATCTAGATCAAAACAAACTTCTTTTTTTTTCTGTCACGAACTGAATGAAGCTCTGTTTCTCTGTCTACTTGAAATAAAGACCTGAATTGAAGTGGCGTATATGAGGATATTTAATTAAGTCCACAACGAGAAACAATGGACTGATCTTGTAGAAAAACAGCTCAATTGCCGACCATTTATTTCAAACCAACATTTGAGAGCCCGGAGGTTATAAATTTTCGGTTCCTCCACAGTTTTTGACCCTGTCACGGCACGTCTTAAAAAAAGTTTCTAAATTTAACTGAATGCAGAGCTACGTTAGGAGGTCAGATATATAGTTTTCTGTTTAAACGAGGTCAGATTTACCGAATTGTATCAATTTGTTGTCATTGAGGGAAACTGGACATGATGCTAAAAAAAGAACGCAAGTAATCCTGCTTTGAATGATGCACGGAAAGAATTATCCTCGAACATGCAAAGAAAGCACTATGGTAATTTTACTTCCAAAAATAAGACTTAAACGATGTAAAGAAAATGCACTCTTCCTAATAATTCCAGCTTTAATTGGCTCTTCCTAGAGCGGTCATACTGCTTTTGTCAATGTTCTCCTGTGCACTTAAGCTTTGCCACACTTTCACTTTACTGAAGTCAATTCACATTCGGTACTGTTCTATTGTTCTCGCTGAATATTCTAGGTTTGAAGGATTATGCAACGCTGTTACCAAGTATATGACAACTTTGTTAGCCTTAAAATTGATTTAGATTGTTTTGAAAAAACCTGCCTTTCGTACAAGCGTTTCTCATTGCGCAACTTTTCAGCAACAAAGTCACACACTTGCTTTGCTAAAATAGTGAAATGATGGATGATCATGGATTTCTGGGAGCTAGTGTTCGTGATGGTCTCTTACTGACCCTGTCCTTAAAATAACTCTGACAAATTAACGACATTTCCTGTTAAGGGGGTTTCCCACGTTAGTCAATAACACTTAAATCAAAGAGACGAACTGTAGCTCAAACATTTTAGCCCGCACTTCGATACGTTCAAATCCACGGTTTTCGGATTGAAAGGTCAGCATGACAAGCCAACAAAAACGGCTTATTTTATTTGGTGAGTGAAATAGGTTAGTTTACTTTTTCAAGGGCGTTAATGTTCATCAAAATGTATATTGTAATTACTTGCCAATATTTTCACATAATCTTCAATTTGTTGCGTTGTCGACTAGCAAACCTTGACAGGTGATATGTGGGTCGTTCATGTGTCAATGACTGCTCGTTTTACGGATCAAAACATATGTACATGAAAGCTAAACCTAATTTTGAAATACATCTTCTTGAGCTGAATAAATGTTAGTTTTAATTCATGGGCTAGTATTTTTATAGAAGCATCGACATTTCTTAAGAAATAACTCACCTGTGCGCATTGCAGTTAATTTTTTAAGGTTGTTTTAATAATTGAGTTTTTCAATTATCACTTCAATCTTGTAAATATTCCAATAGCGTCACTTAAGATTAGTGTAAACGTTATATCGTGATCTGAAAATTTTGTTAATTGAGGCGAGTAAAAGGTTAAATACAACAAAACTCAGGTTTTTATTTAAGCACACTTGTTTGTTTTGTTAAAGTATTTAGAAGAGGTAAATATAGGTATTCTTCAAAACAATATGTAAAACCACAACTGTCATGAGCGGTATATTTGAGGTCAATTTTCACCTTCTTAGCACTCTTTAATCGCTCTCAGCACGGTAATCAGTTACTTTGAGATAGCAATGATCCTATGAATCTTCATTCCGTTTACGCCAACACTTATATTTGAATTTCTGAAAAAGAAAAAGCGTCGACGACCAAATAAATCTTGCCAATAGAGGATCCAGTCGTAAATTAACGCGTTTGTGCAACGTCAGCAAAACTTACCAAAGAACATCGACTCTTTAAAGCAGACCTTTTTCAGTGGCAGTCAGGCAAAATTTTCCGCTCTTGAAAGGAAGAAGAACGAAATATTCTACATCGAGTAACAATAATTCGATTTTGTCCCTTTTTTGGCCAAGAATTGATTTTACGCCTTACGCTACAAACAAAGGTGCTTTGTAAGCAATTTCATGGCTGGTTAGTGATTTAAAAATAAATATCTTTATCGGTCAAAGCCACGACTTTATTTGTTCTTCTAGAAATTCTAGGTTAAAAATAGGAAATTGAGCTCTTATTCTGGATGTGATTGAATGAGATCTGTGCAAAAAAGGTGATGAAACGAAGGCAAAGTCCGTAGTAGATTCCTAATCATGAATAAAGATGTAGCATCGAAAACAAACCGAAACCGAAACTTTGCAATTGAAAGAAGAAAATGATGATATAACCAAACTTTATACGGAACAAATGCGTCATAAACTCCCTGTTTCGCTAATGTCACGTATTTTCATTGTACCTCACGTATGTCAGCAAAACTTAGATCTCTATAGGCTTATAACATCAGAAGAAGACACTGTTAATCTCAAATTCACTTCAAGCAGCGTTTTTGACTTTGAGCTAGCGTGACACTGAGTGAGCGTGACTTCTAAAACTGGCTCAACAAATGTCTTGAATCAATGGTGTCTTACGTGACTGAAGTAAAAACTTGGAGTTCTTTAGTTGAATTTTAGAAACAGTTTGTAGCAACTCTTTGTGAAAGGATTTTCGAGAAATATTAAAACTGTTGCGAAACCTTTCATTTCGAGGGGTTTAAAACTATTTTTTTTCGAGCTATATTTGACGGGAAAGATATACGTCACGTGGGAGGACAACAGTTTCTATTCCGTGAGGAATTTGAAACGTAGATTCCACCCAAGAGGGGAAATCACCGTACAATTATAGATGCACTGAAAAGCGATTTTGATACGCTGAGAAAGTCAATTTTTACAGTTGATGACGTTACTCATTCATATTTTTAGAATTTGCATACAATTATCATTATGGCTTCTCTTGGGTGTGCAGAGACATGTCATTTCTTAGGGGACGTACGTTTTAAATAGACTACTACGTGATTGGCCGGGAGTTTCCTATTAAATCGAAATCTCGCTTCGTATTAAGTAGATATCACTTAAGTTCTTTTTAGTCCGGTTTTATTTTCAAGTTCTCTTGAGTTCATCTCTAATAAGTGCTCACGACACCGCCACAATGGATCACGGACTGAAACGGTTTGTTTTTTTAGGTGAGTGAGACACCTTCATTGATCATTATCAAATCAATTGCTGGCTTGATGCATCGATAATCGTTTGAGGACAAATTGAAAATTGGATAGGAATCGTATAATAAGAATTATTAACATTTACGCGTGATAATCTATCAATAGTGGCAGTAACTTATTTATTGCATCAGTGTTGCATATTCTCAACAGTCCTGTTCGTTTTCAAAAAGAAGCACTCCTTTGTGGAGTCGCAAAACAAGTAATTGAATTACTGACAAACAAAACTTAAGTACATAAATTAATTTTCACTTTTCAACTCAGCTTTCGCCTTTGTAATATGTTCTTATGGTTTTAAAGGTAAAAACTCTTAGTAATGTTTAGAAGTCTTTGTCAAGGCAGTTGACGGTTGCGGTTAAGCGAAACACGCCGCTGTTAATCAAAAAGCGTAATTGCAGCGTAAGCATCTCATGACAGTGCAAGAGCATTCTGGTACTCTGTAAAACGGTACCATGAAGAGAGGAAACCTTTCCGGCTTCAAAAGAGATCTTTGCTCCCCCCTAAGCCGTCACGATACGGTAGCATTTAGGCAGAAGACAGCTGGGGAAATGATGCAATTACTTTAATTAGATATGCAGAAAAGTTTCATCATTTTGGTAATTAAAAGCTTGTACTCCGCCGGCCGAATTAATTACATATTTTTTAGTTTCATAACCTAAGCATCACTCAAAGTGGCAAATTATGCCCATCCAAATGAAGGTAAATTTTGTTGGGACAGAACCAAAATCTTCCCACCCTCCCCCGACCCCTTTCCTCAAAACTATAAATGGTTACCAGTCCCCAGTCTCGGAAAAATGCCTTAATCTCAATGCCTTTTCACCGATAATTTATCTTCAGTGCCGATTCTTCTGGCTCTCTCCGTGAAGAACGCCAACACATGTACGACCGATGATTTTGAAAGAGCTGCAAAGGCGTGCGTAACTACGTTCGCAAGAAACCTTCGGGAGGCGAAGGATAAGACTTGCAGGTAAAAGCAAGAAACTACTTAAAATATACATCCTTAGTGAGGGAGGGGTGGGGAAAGAGGGGAAGGCGGGGTAGGCAGTATTCAGTTTGCGAAAGAAAGGAGCACAAGTTTTTGGCTCGAGGTATACGATAGGGTTTAAAGTGAATTGAGAAATAGGAAAGAGTACGAAAAATCACCAATTACCTGCAAAATATAAATTTTTTGTCGAGCCTTTCAAAGTAATCCATGGTTCCATTCTCGGTTTTAATTTGCTCTGCCAAGTGATTGGTTGAAAGAAACTTGCGCCATCCTATCAAACAATCGGATTCACGACTGTAACCAATCATGCATGACTCTGTTAGTCGTAGTTTCCTGCACTTCAGACATTTTTTTTGTCATTCATTTTGAGTTCTCATAAACTCCTCTTGCTGATGTCCTTCGCTCCCATTGCCTTCTGTTATTACGTTCGTTTTTTTTTTTTTTTTTAATTTTATTTGTTTTTGGGTTTTTACAGTTTTTACAAGTACGCAAGATACATCACAAATTTCTACATGCATAAATTTACATCACACTACTCTATTACACAAAGAAAATACCACTACACTGGACTACGAGAATAAAAGAAAAGAAAAGAAAGAAAAAAAAAACAAAAAAAAAGAGGCATCGCGTATTGATATAAATAATAAATTAGTTCAGCTATTGTTCTATCAGTTGAAGGAGGGGTTTCCATTTGTTGTAATGGATCTCAAGTTTATTATTCTTTCTGGCTATAAAACGTTCTATTTGAAACATACTCTTAATTCTTTCGAAAAAGGTGCGATAAATAAAATATTTACCTCCTAGTACAATATAATTAAGAAGGATTCCGTCATTGTCATGATTAGGCTCGTTTTGGTTTGACGACACTCACGCGAAATGTGCCTTTGAAGAGGGTGGGGCGGTTTTGTTTCCTTGAACGCCACTTGAAAATCAAGAATCACTGATTTGAAACCATTTTTTCTTCACCAAATTTTTTTTCAGGAATCATTACGCTGAAATGCAAACCTGCATAGGGCGAGCATTACACAGATGCAAAAATTCTTCGGATTCAACTACTCTTGGCAAAATAAATCAAATCAAACGAGTGGCTGCCGCTTCGGAGGAGTATTACTGCTCCTATGGTGGGGTGAATCCGGATCCGTTCAATGGGAAAGTCATGCAAGGTTGCCGGAAGAAGGCTCATAAGAAAATGAGGAAGTGTCCAGCTTCGTTCCATAAACGATTCAGCGATGACAATGGAAGCACTGCGTTATGCAGGTTAGATCCACCGCTTACCTAAGCCTTATTCCTTAGGAATGACTAGCATTTAATTTCTCCTTACAATGTCACCCCTAAATCAAACAGTAAGGCCATGAGGAGAAAGGAAATAATTACCAATTAAAGAAACTCTTGATTGTTAAACAAATTCTCCTTATCAGTGCCTTAGCAATTGTAAAGAGAACAGTATGGAGAATATACATACTGATGCGAGAAAATGACTGGAAAGCTAACTAGCAGAAAAACCCTAAAAAAAATGACGATAAACAGCAACTCAACATGAATTTGACAGTAGGTTCGGAAATCGAATCCACGCCACGGCGGTGGTCCACAAGCGCTCTTGTCACTGCGCTATCCTTCCAACGCTTACGCAGAGATCTGCATTGGGGAGGGAATGAAGCGATCGTAATTTAGACATGTCAAGATTTCTTTTTTTCCTTTCTCTCTTGAAGGTTATTGTTATAACTGGCGTTTTTATTTTATTTTATTCTGTTAGAAAGTACAGTAACCTTAAGAAGTGCGTTATTAAGGTTGCTGAGAGGTTCTGCCAAAAGACCCCCGAGGTAAAGAACCTGATCAAGATATATCAAGACCCCTTCAATCCGTATTG